GGACTTGACAATTGAAACCTTCAACTCTCCACGCTTCCAATGAAAGGCAAGCCACGAATTGAGAGAAATGTTTTCTGCGTGTGTATGGGCGCATGTACAAACGTGTATATGTACACATGCACACACACCCATGTAACAAAGGGACGTGTATGCAGAACAGAATATAGAAAGAACCCCTACCACTCAATCATAGGAATTCAAACAACCCCATGAAAAAAACTGGCAAAGACTGAAATAAACTCAAAAAATAGAATGGCCAATAAGCACGTTAAAAGATGTTGAACATCACCAGTCATCAGGAAAAGGCAAAATAAAATCACAATGATATATTGCTACAGATTATTGGAATGGCTAAAATTTATTTATTTATTTAGAGACAGACTCACACTCTGTTGCTCTGGCTAGAGTGCCGTGGCATCATCGTACCTCACAGCAACCTCAGACTCCTGGGCTCAAGCGATCCTCCTGCCTCAGCCTCCCGAATAGCTGGGACTACAGGCATGCGCCACCACGCCCAGCTAATTTTTCTATTCTTGGTAGAAACGGGGTCTCCCTTTTTTGCTCAGGCTGGTCTCGAACTCCTGACCTCAAGCGATCCACCTGCCTCAGCCTCCCGGAGTGCCAGGATTACAGGCGTGAGCCACCGCGCCCGGCCTAGAACGGCTAAAATTCAAAGCACTGACAATACCAAGTGCTGGTGAGGCTGTGGGACAACTGGACCCTTGGCACATGGTGGGCGGGAAGGCAAATCGGTGCCGCCTTTGTGGAGAGCAGTTTGGCAGCTTGCTGTGAGGCTGCCGGCTGTCATGCCGTGCGATCCAGCCATTGCACTGCCACCTGAATCACCCCAGGGACGTGAAGGGTGTCCTCACACAGAGACTCAAGGCAGCATTCCTGATAATAGCCCCAGCTGGAACGACGCAGACACCCGCCCCCGCATGAGCGACACACCCGCCGTGGCCGTCACCACCCTGGACTGCCACTCGGCACTCAGAGGAATGACCGGGCCACGCAACACCCGGATGCATCCCACATAATTAGGCCGGAGGGAAGGGCCAAGCCCTCGGTGAGCCCACGCGCAGGATTCCTTTTGCGGGGACTCAGGGAGAGGCAGCTGCCCACGGGACGGGAAGCAGGTCAGTGGCTGCTTGCGGCCGGGAGCTCAGCGGGGACCCGGCCCCACGGGCGCAGGGAGCTTCCCGGTGACAGGAGTGCTCTGCACGCTGGTTTGACGGGGAGACAGGCCGAGGCGCTGTCCACGTTCCCTGAGCTGGTGCTCGGGTCAGGAGCACTGACTGCCGGTCAGCGGCACCCCACGGAGCTGGTTTGCTTCGGGGACACGTTTTCGGAGGCAGATTCTGTCTTTGAATCCCCGCCTGGGACCCGGGGCCCATTCTTTCCACGTAACCCCTCGCTGGACGTGGGCACGCTTGGTGACTGAAGGAAGGGACCTTCCTTCCCTCCAGAGGAAAAGAAACACCCCACGCCTGCGGGAAGCCCGGCTTTCCAAAGGCGAAAGGGGAACGCCGGGCCGTTTCTGGTCGCCCGGGCTTCCTGAGTGTTTTTCAGCTCCTTTCTATTTTTCGCAGAAATCACACTCAGATAAGTGGAATAATTAAAGAGGAGTGAGTCAGACTGAGACCCCGGCAGACCCCGGGGAGAGGAACTGAACGTGCTCTGGCCCTCCCTCGCACTCCCTCCCCAGCCCTGCACCGCCCCTGCAGCCACTCGGCCGCACCCGCGGGACCGACTCCAGCCCCGGTTTCTGTCCCCGTCCCTGTCCCCAGCGTGCGTCGTGGCCCCGGAGCCAGCCCTGAGAGCCCTGAGAGCCCCCGGTGGCCCTGAGGAATCCTTCGCCTGGACACGCCCACCACTCAGGCCCCACTGCACCCAAGGTTGACCCTCCCAGACCCAAAGCCACGTCGCACGCAGGGTGGCTGTGCCCATCTGAAATACCCGGGGGTTATTCTGGAAGGAAAACTAAGAGGCCAACACTTTTTCTTCTGCCCCCAAACAAGTCAGTTCCTCTTAGCTCAGATTCGGTTCCTGCCTCCCAGCGAGAGGAGCACATGCAGAGACACGTGCCGCGGGGACTTCCCGCGGGCCCCGGCAGAGCCGCCCCGAGACCGCCGGCCCACGCAGGGACGGCCCTCTGCCCCCAGACACAGAAGCCAGCGCCTTTGCTGGGGGACACCATTCCTGGGCACCCGGCGAGACGTCTTCCTACAGTGCGGCTCGTGCTGATCCCGCCGTCCTGCGGCCTGGTGGCAAAAGCGCCACCAGCTCCCGCTGACGGGAAGGCGCACAGACACACTCAGGACAGCCTTAGGGACAGCTCTCCCCTGCTGCAAGAGGACTCAGTGTCCCCTGCAGGGCTGACGGGAAGGCGCACAGACACACCCAGGACAGCCTTAGGGACAGCTCTCCCCTGCTGCAAGAGGACTCGGTGTCCCCTGCAGGAGCGTCAAGACAGGAGGCCAAGCCTCGAGCAATCTGGTCACCTGACAGCTCTTCCCTGGTGGACATCTGGTTCCGTTCTTGCTCAGGGTGACACCTGGGACACTGCGCTAAGCATCTCACAGGCGGGTCCTTCACATAGCCGGGAGCAGACGGCATTGCTACGTGTGCCGTCCCGGGAGCAAGAGTGGAACGCACGGCACAGCCCCGTCACCGCCCAGCACCCAGGGCGGGACGCAGACCCAGGCGTGTGACAGCAGAGGCCACATTCCCTGCTACCGCGCCCCTCTGCAGCGTGGCTCGCCGGCACGGCCCTGTCTCGTGTGCGCAAGGACTTAGGCAGCCGCCTGGTCTGCAGCTCCAGGCTGTATCTGGACCCTTGCCAGAGGCACTGGGAGAAAGAAAGTGCCAGAACCCGGGAGCACCCCACAGCTCAGGAGTGCCGCCGTGTGCGCAGGGCGGCGTCAGAGTGCAGCGCAGCCTGGCCGGGCCCGGCAGGAACGGGCACGCCGCAGTGGGCACGTCTCGGGAAACGCCCTGGTGGGTGGGGCCGTTCCCAGGGCCGGGCCTGGGCGGCCGTGACAGGGCCCCTCGGGCAGGCGGCGAACACACGGGGGTCTGGCCGGCGCCCACGGCCACGCGGGCTCCTCTTCAGCACAGAGACGGGCAAGATTCCTGAGCCGACCCAGCAGCCCGGACAGAGCGTAGGGTCCTACGTGAGGTTCCCCGAGAGTGGGGCTCTGACTTTCAACCGGAGAATCCATCATCGCCATCGTCACGGCACCCTCGCACGCGGGCCGAGCCGGCGGGGCTCAGGGACTCGGGACCCACGCAGCGGGGGCTGTGGAGGGGAGCCCCATGTCCACACGTCCTCGGTGCCCGGAGCACAGAGACACCCTCGTCCCCACCAGGGGCGCTGGGCCGGGACTCGGCCTTCCCGTCTCCACTCAGCGGACTCGGCGGGGACGGCCGAGAGGCTCCGACACAGGCTCTGCTGAAGCTCCTGCTGGTTTCCAGGGCTCCCCGTTCCCAAACAGTAAACACACGCCGCCCGGCACACCGCCCGTCTTCTCCCGCAGCAGCACGGGCCGCGCCCCCGGGCGGTGGCCAGGCTGCCCAAGCAGAGCGCCCACGTTGGCCGGCTCCCCACACGTGTGGCTGGGCAGGGGCTCCACGCTGTGCAGTCCCAGGTCCCCGGGGGTGCAAGGTCCGGGTCGGCCGCGGCCAACGGCCCACCGAGCGTCAGCCACACGGCAGCTCCGGCTCTGAGCGGCAGCGACAACTGCCGAGCCGACTCAGACACCGAGGCGAGGACGTCTGCCCCGGAGGCCCCGCCAGCGTCTCGCCGCGTCCAGCTGCTCGAGGGGCAGGTCACCCGTGAGGGGAGCATGCCACATGGCCTCACGCTCTGAGCAGCCGTGGCGTCCCGGCAGACCTCGGCACTGACCGTGGCTGGTCCCGTCCTCCCACCCGCTCTCCTCGTGGAAGCTGCCGTCCACTCTGTGTGTTCCCCCCTCCCGAAAAATTTTCGTTTTATTGTGGTAAAATACACACAACAAAAATTCACCATTTTAGCCATTTTTAGGTGCACAGTTCAGCGGCATCAAATACATCCACATTGCTGTGCAACCATCACCACCACCCATCTCCAGAACTTTCTCCTCTTCCCAAACCGAAACTCTGTCCCCACTCAACACCAGCTCCCCAGTCCCCGGCGCCCAGCACTCTGCCGTCTGTCCCACGGACGTCCTGCCCTGGGGGCCCCCAGACGAGCGGAACCAAACAGCGCCTGTCCTTTCGTTCCTGGCTTATCTCACTGAGCGTGATGTCCTCGAGGCACGTCCATGGCGCAGGGCACGGTGACAGCCAAGTGTCGTCCTGCCGTACACAGAGACCACGATCCCTGCACCCTCTCACCTGCTGGGGCTGCCATGTTTCGGCTGCTGTGAACAATGCTGCCATGCACACAGTCAGGACCCTGATTTCAATTCTTTTGCGCATATACCATTAACAAAAGCTGCAGGATCATGCGGTCATTCTGCTTAATTTTCTAGGAACCACCGGTTTTCCAGAGGCTGCACCACTTTATGCTCCCAGCAACAGCACACAAGGGTCCAGCCGAATAGTGACCGCCCCAGGGGGTGTGAAGAGGTCAAATAACTTTTTTACCAAAATCACTTGGCAAGATTCAAAATGCAGAGTCCTTTGTTCTTGCAAACAGCACGCCTGCCCTATTGCTCGAAGGCGGTGAAGACTTGCAGACCCAGAGAGTGTGGCTGTGAGATCCTCCCAAGTCCCCCAGGTCGAGACTGTCAGCGACTCAGCACTTCGGCTGCTGGGGAAGGGGCCTAAGCTTAGGGCAGGCAGGCCCTGGGCGCCACCGGCCACCTGTCGCTGCTGCTGGGACGCGCCAGCTCTGCCGAGCAAGCGCAGGAGCGGGCAGCCCACCCTCCCCTCCGAGACGTGAGGCCCCCGTGGACTGGAGGACGCAGCCCCTAGATGGAGCAGCTCGGAGGAAACAGCACCCAGAGATACACCAAGAAGAAAGTAGAGAGCTTCCCCCCAAATATTTTATTTAAATATTAAATTAAAAAACATACATTAACTGATCATTTGGCATACATACGTTTCTCATGTTAACATAAGAAATAAAATAATTCAGTTATGGTAAAAAAAAAAACAAACACAACCCTATATACATATCAATCAGATCACGTAGTGTCCTTAAATAGGCTATGGCGTGGCAGGCTGCGGGACAGCGCTGCGGAGACCGACACACACACGTCACACACTCTTAAAAAAACAAGAAACAGAAACACGACGTCACCATCCTCTGAAAGAGGTTCTACAGCAGTAAGAAGAAACAAAAACCACTAGGAAAGTAAAGTGCTTGTCATTGCTTCGGAGAGGAGACACACGATGGTTTCTGAGGCCTTTGATCTACGGCATTAGCACAGAAATCACTGGAAGGGGGCGAGGGTTTGTGCTGGGCTAGGTGGTGCAGCCTCTGGGGAAACTGAGGCAGAGGCCTGCGCCGCCGGCCTGGGTCCTCTCCCACTCTAGACTCCCCTGTGTGGTGGGGCCGGGGGCTTTGGTGCTGGGCCCGCCCCTCCAGGCAGCCGGGTGCCCACCCGGGGAGCGGGCGCAGAGCAGCAGCAGGAACCGGCAGCGAGCTTGCACGGGGCACAGGGCAGGTGCCCACCGCACGGACACGGGCCGCCACGCGCCAGCCTTCCTCCTGCCCTCAAGTCACCGGGTCAATCTTTGGCTTTTGAAAACACCCACCTCTCCCCCTTTCGTGAGGACCTCTGTTTAATACTGCAGGTTGTAGAAGCCAAAGTGAGCTGAAGGCACCTGGGCTAGGAAGAGGGGCGGGGACGTGGGACAGAGCGAGTGGGAGCAGCAAGTTTCCTTCGTTGCGTTCAACAGGCTTCTGACTGCCGGAGCCACCACCTGAGTCTACCTGCCACAGGTGAGCCTGACCCTGCCAGGCCAGGCCGCCCTCCCCGCCGCCGTCTCCACCCGGCGCTAAGGGGGAACAGGCACTGCGGCCCGTTCCGCAGCACAAACCTGGCGCTGGTGGCACGCTTCCTAACGTGACCCAGGAACACAGAGGCCAAGTACAAAATATAAAAAATAAGTAGTGTGTATCTGTCCCTGTTTATGTACATATACAGTATTTGCTTAAAAAAAAAAGAAACAATGCTATGAAAACACTGACCTAAACCTCTCCTTCCATCTTCCTTGAACAAAAGCCCAGCAACAAGAGCCCAGGCCTGGGTGCGGGGGCAGCGCGGTCCAGCGAGCCCGTCCCACTGGCCTGCCCGCTGTCGCAGCCGCCCGACACGGCACAGCTCACCCAGGTCAGGTGTTCTTGTTGGACCCTGATAATGAAATGCACGAAAACTTGATTAGCAGCGGAAACAAGATGAGCAGCAGCAGAGACTTCTCCTGGGCTTCCCCACAGGCCCCTGGGGGCTCCGGGCCAAGGGACCCCCGGGACGGAGCCCCCACCATCTCCAAGTCACCCCCACCCACTTTTAGGTTCTTCTGTGCCTCCTAAGAATCTTGGAAAACTGACTCTTGAGCAGTTTATAAAACTTCTCGTCCAAAATAAGAAAAAACTGTCCTCTGGGTTCTGATTTCAGAGGCGAGAATTCCAAGGATTTGTAGGTTATTTCGCCTGGCCTGGCCATTTAGAGCCGTTTTAAAACTGATACATAAAAGCAGAAAGTTCACAGTTTTCGTTAAAGCACAACTGTTTCAGGAAGTGGAGAACGCTACCTACACGGGGCAGCAATCCGCACACGCTCGCGGCCACTCGCCTCGCCACACCCGCCCGAGGTAACATCTCAGGCCACGAGGACGCCGTGGACGAGGAGCTGAGGCCCCTCCTGCCCCCGCCCGACCTGCACGCGGCGCTGGCCGGACACCACCGGCCGTCCCGCTTCTCCCTCCCATCCACCCGCCACACGACTCGCCCCAGATTATTATTTTTCTTCAGAAAGTTTCCAGTCCCTACGCATAGTTGAGGTCACTCAGTGCAAGGAAAAAACAAAACAAAAAATAAACCGAAAAGCCAAAACACCTAACGTATTGCTTGTTTTGCTTCTAGAAAGTTCTTGGCTTTAAGTCCGACAACGTCCTCACACTCTGAAGTTATTGCTTGGAAGAGCCGGCCGAGCGCGCGGCCGAGAGGGCCTCACTGCACCAGGACGAACGTCCCCCGCTGGCCGGCCGTCAGGTCCTCCATCTCGCAGTCCCCCCGCGGCAGCCCCGTGGGGTCGCAGCCCGGGGCCAGCACGGCCAGGCGCGGCAGCGGGGGCGCGGCCGGGAGGGCGACCGGGCCAGCACTGATGTGCAGATGGGCGTCCAGCAGCCGCGCCGCCGAGGCCACTGGGGAGACACTGGCCTGCAGGAGGGGGGCCGGCAGCAGCGGGAGCCCCGCGGCAAGGAGGGCGCTGGGGAGCGGGGCGGCCCCGGGGCCGTCGCAGGGGCCGAGCGCGTAGGCCTGGGGGGCCTGCTGGCAGGGGGGCGGGGTGGCCGGGTGGTGCTGTAACTGGAGCAGCCTGCAGGACAGGAGACGCGCAGGTCACTCGCTGGCTGTGCTCCCGGCCTCCCGGCGCTATCGGGTTTCCAGGTCGCCCACGTCCCAGGCCCACGTCCCAGGCCCGCCCACCCCGTGGAGCTGAGCCGCGGCTGGGCGGACACGGCCCTAGTGCGTGACTAATCCCTGAGCAATCCCCGACCTTTCCTTTCCCACCTTGCCTCTGCGGCAACGCGGATGCCAGCCGGGCTTATTCTCACTCCCTGCCGCCCGCTCCCACCCCCGGCCTCAGAGGCCTGCCCTGCCTGTTGCCACCTCCCAAGCCCTGATGCCGAGGCCCCAGCTTTGCACCCCTCTCCGGGGCAGGAAGAGGAGGGGACGCCTGGGAGACGGAGCACAGAAGGAAACAAGCCCAGTGCCGAGGCTGCCCTACCTCTGCTGCTGCAGCACCTCTTCCAGCAGGCTCCGGCCCTCCCGGCCGCTAGCCGCGCCGCCGTGCAGGCCCGGGCTCTGAGCAGGGGTGTGGAAGGGGCTCAGGCCTCCCCTGGCAGCCCGGCTGGAGGGGGACTGGCACACCTGGCGAGCCAAGCCCTTGATCTTGTTCAGCCCCAGAAACCCCTTGGTCCTCGTGGTCTTCCTCAGCTGCTGCCGGAAGGCTTTGAGCCCTGTGGGGGTAAAGCCAGGTGGTCGGCACCTCCTGCCTGCAGCCCAGGACCAGGCCTCGGCTGACGGGGTCTCTGGCCTCGGGCAGGGGTCAGGGAAGGACAGGGCTGCACACAGGACAAGGTCAGTCTAGCACCCGAGCCTCAGGGAGGCCTGGGGGAGCCAGGTGGGCCCCCGACTCATCCCTCGTGTCAGAAGGTGCCTCCCAGCACAGAAATGTCCCCCGTGCTCTTAGGACCAGCCAACACAGGCCATTTACTCAGGGGCCCAGGTCTGAGGCCATCCCAGCAGACTAGGAAGCCAGAGCCAGGACAGCACCTCCGTCACCCGGGACACCACTGGTCCCATCTGGGCCTGGTAGAAAACAAGGGGGATGTCACCTGCCACCACAACAAAGTGACCTGCTGCCAGGGACAGGAGTGTCCCTGGGGAAGGTGGGCGTGGGCGTGGAGGAGCGTGCAGGCTCACCCTGGGTCAGCGAAGTGTCCGACGCCCTGCGGCCCTCCTGGAAGCTGACAGGGAGCAGGGCGGCTCCTCCCAGGTCGCCCTGAGCCTGCAGCACAGGGGTGGCGGACTGCGAGCCCAGGAACGGTGAGGCCAGTCTGACCGGGGAGCAGGTGCCCAACAGCCCCTGAGAGGCCAGGCCACCACTGAGCGCCGCAGGGCCATCGCTGGCGGAGAAGGTCAGACAGCTGTCGGAGCTGGCTCCTTCCGCAGGGCTTGCCACGGCTGACGGGGAGACGACGATGCCTGTGGGGAGCAGGGCGCTCTTGAGGGGGGGCTGCTCCCGACGCTGGGCCGTCAGGTGCCCACTGCCACGGCAGGGGACAGGCCTCTGCTGGGGGCAGCACCTGCACTGGCCGTGACATCTCTCCCCCTAGCCATGGTGGGAAAAGGGCTCCACTGGTGGCTCGGGCCCAGGCAGCCCCAAAGGCGAGCCACCCTGGGCATACAACAGCCCAGGTCATCAGCAGGCCCCAGGACACAGAAGAGACTGGCCAAGGACCTGACTCCCAGCGCCTAGAGATGGCCCAGGGTGCACCCTGCCGGAGACCAAACGCCACACCGTTTCTTTAACCAAAATGACCACACACAGGGTCTCAGGGATTCTAACAAACGGCGGATCCTGAGGATCCAACCAGAGGGGCCACCGAGCAAGCAAGGTCCATCCCACATCAGCCCACCGCAGCCCTGACCACGAGCCCACCCGCCAAGCGTCTCCCCGGCCCTGGGAACACTTACACGGAGGGGTGAGGGGGGAGAAGCGGGTGGAGACCTCGGCCAGGGTGTGCCGCCGGCCCGTGCTGCTGGGCAGGGCCTCCTGGGCCTCCCGCTCCTCCTCCAGCCCCGGGCCCGGCCGGGCCTCCTCGCTGATGGCCGTGTCCAGCAGGCTGCTGGGGGAGACCGGGCGGTGCCGGAACACCGCGTTGCAGTTGGCGTCCAACGGGAAGAACAAGGGCTGCGGCAGAGACACAGACCAGTGACCTCCTGTGGCTCCGGAGAGCCCGGCGTGTGGGGCAGCCCTCGGGGAAGAAGGTGGGCCCCTCTGGTCCTGCGCGGACACCCACCTGGAGCGAGCTGTGGAGGTCGCAGTCCATCTCAGCCTGCAGGACGGACTGCGCCAAGGCGGGGGGCTGCGGGCACAGCAGGACAGAGCGGAAGGGGTCGGCAGGCAGGCCTTCCTGAGGCACCTGGGGGTGGCGCACAGGCAAGGACGCCGTCAGGGCCGCGGCTCTGGGGACGACCACCAGCAGGACGAGAAACAGCACGCTGGTTCAGGAGCCCCACGGACGGACGCCAGGGCCGCACCCTCCTGCCCAGGCCCGTGCTGGGCTGCCGGCGGGGGCAGGCAGGAGCCTGTGGCTGCTGGGCAGGGCCTGCACCTGGCAGGGCCGCCCACACAGGACCCACCCTCCGCCTGGGGTCCTCTCGGGGGCTCAGCCCGTCTCGCTGCTGGGCACAGCTGAGCTGGGCCTCACAGCTCAGAGGACAAGGCCAAGGGGAAGGGGGGACGGGGCTCTCGGAGGGCACGCCTGCCCCTCACCTCGAAACCGCTGAGGTCGGAGCTCCTGGGCCGGTGTGGCCGGGCGGGCCCGGGGCGGGCGCACGGGGTGTTCCGGTGCTCCTGGAGCCGCTCGAGGAGCAGGTAATAGATGGCGGCAAAGTGGTTGTAGCTGCGGCTCTGCAGGGACTGGGGGGCAGAGAAGCAGAGGTCAGGGAGAGGGCGGCGCCCAGGCTCCCTCCCAGGACTGCAGCCGGGCCGGGCCGCACTTGGGGCTGGGAGCATCCTGCAGAGGCGGGCAAGCGGCCTTTCAGCAGGCGTGTGCCCCATTTTAACTCGTGGTGAGCGCCGCCTTTCCTGACAAAGCCGGGCTCCCGGTCCTGGCGCCTACGGCACGTGCGGCACGTGGCCCAGGCGAGGGCTGGGGGCGGGGGCTGGGGGCGGGCGCCCGCTCACCTCCACGGTCCGCTGCCGGTCGATGCCGAGAGTCTGCATGATGCCCAGCACCCGCTCGTCGGGGTCGCCGGGGCTGGCGCTGCAGCCGTGCGCAGGGCAGGCGAGCGGGGGCTGCCGCAGCAGGCTGGGGGCGGCCTGCATCCACCTGTGCTGCCGGATCTGCGCCAGGGTGATGCGCTTGGCGGGGTCCACCACCAGCATGCGGCGGATCAGGCTCTCGCAGTCTGCAGGACACGGGGACGCTGAGCCCTGGGCAGCGGGGCCGGCGCGCGTGTCCACCCCGCCCACGAGGGCAGACGCACAAGTGACTGTCCCAAGGAAATTGGGGCCGGGGCTCAGACCCACCACCCAAGGAGAGCCACCAGCCGGGGCTCAGGCCCCAGGAAGGCCGGGCCTTGGTCTTCTAAACGTCTGCCAGACAGAACTACTTAGACGCCCCCATTCTGCTGCGGCACACGGTCAGTGGCTCAAACATCTCTACAGGTAAGTGCTGCGCGTGGTAGCAGCAGGTCAGACTTGGGGACAAGGCCAGCACCCTGGGCACTGGCGTCAGCCTGCAGAGCAAGGGCACCTGCCTGCCCAGAAGCAGGACACTGAGAACACACCCAGTGGCGTGGGCTTCCCTGCAGCCCGCAGTAACCCAGGCCTGCCTCCCTGCTCCTCGGACAGCCACTCGGGCACCGCAGGGGTCCCCCAGCCCGGCAGCGCCTGCGGCAGAGCCGTGCCGACCCACCTTGGGACATGAAGAAGGGGATGCGGAACCGGCCCTCCAGCACCCGCTGTCTCAGAGTCGGCAGGTTGGGCCCGTCAAAGGGGAGGGACCCGCAGACGAGGACGTACAGCACGACGCCGAGGCTCTGTCAAGGACCCAGGGCACATGTCAGCACCCAGCACCCGCCCCGGGAACCAGGCCTCCCACGCGGCGTCTGCACCACTCGGGCCCTACCCAGATGTCCAGCTGGGGGCCTTCGTACTCCTTCCCCTCGAAGACCTCTGGGGCTGCGTACGGGGGGCTCCCACACCACGTGGAGAGAGGCTCTCCTGGCTTGTAGAAATTCCCAAATCCAAAGTCTAAGAGACAAAGAGACACACAGACAAGTTAGACTGGACACGGCAGGGGCTGCGGCTTCGAAGACTGCGCACAGAATCCCGAGACCCTCGCTCTACGCAGCCGCACCCCCAACAGCTCGTCCCGGCGCGGGCGGGCGGGCCCTCCTTGCCTGCCAACTTGATGTCCATGTTGCCGTCCAGCAGAAGGTTCTCGGTCTTGAGGTCCCGGTGCACGACATGGTGGCTGTGGCAGTACTCCACGGCCGACAGAATCTGCCAGAACTTCTTCCGCGCTTCGTTCTCGCTCAGGTGCCCGTTGGACGTCAGATAGTCTGAGGGGCAAGGAAAGCAAGCTGTGTCCCCAACTGCAAAGTCTGCCCCTGCCCGGGGTGCTACCAAGGAGTACTGTGGAATTTGAGGGCATAAAGACCCAAAAAATGCCACCGAGCAAATCCAGACATGTTAGCACCATTTGTTTGCAACAGATATTATAACAATACATGTGACTCACCAAACATTTCTCCATTTTTTGCAAATTCAGTGACAATGTAAAGCATGTCCTTTGTTTCCATAACCTAAAAAAAATACAGACCTAACATTTAACCGCAAGAAAAAGGAACACACACAGATGATATAAACAATCCTACTGATCCACCTGAACCCCAGATTTTTAACTTCTCTAGGACAAGTATATTCACCATGTAAAAAAATAAAAAAATAAAAAAGTAAAACCCTTGGCAATAAAAAAGATAAAGGGGATTCCTACCCAGAAAGAGTTTCAAAAAATCAGAGGTGAATTCCTCACGAACTTCCTTGCCTGTCCTGATAGTCTGCTCTCACAAAAAGGTCACATGGTACCAGAATTCCCCTGTATCATCACAGTTAACTCGGCTTGCCCCAGCACACCTTGAGGACTCTGCAGGCTGCAGATGATAAAGAGGTTGCTGGAGTTCTGCTGGCCTTTCTTCTAGAAGCCTAGTAGGTAACAGATCATTGAAGCCAGCGGCCAGAGCAAACTGAATAATAGATGACAAACACCCCATCCCACTGGCTTTACTGCCGAGATCAATTAGGACGCAGGAAGCCAGCTTTGCAGGTGAGCCGCGACAGACAGACAGCCGGCTCGTTTAAAGCAAATGCCACAGCCGATGTCAGTGTAGCCCTTACAAATTCACTCATTTGTCAAGAATTTTATTTTACTTAAAAAGAGATTTAATGCAGAACTGATGCCTGTGTGTATTTTAAACTATTTTAGAGGGAGAGAGACAATACACTGTCATGGAAGAAGATTTCTTTGTGTTCAAAACCTAAGAGTTATTCCTTTATAAATACACTTCAAAGACAATTGCTTTAATCTGTAAATCTAATAAGAAAAGTGTTTTTAAGAGTCCAGCAGTTTGGCTAGAATTTCAACTGCCCCTGCCTCTAAATGTGTGGTGGGAGAACACGTGGGACCCCTTACCCCTGACCCCGGCCACAGACGGGGAGAAGAGGGGGAAGAAGAGTAAAGAGGCCAGGGGAGGGGGGCCTCGGCAGGCTCCAGGCCCACCAGCTGCATGGAAATCAGAAACGGGCGTCTTCAGAACCAGTGGAATAGAAGCATGCTACCCCACCAAGCTCTCATCTGCAAACAGCTGAAGACCCAGATACGGCAGCAGTCAGAAAATTCAACCCCAGCATCCAGCACACGGGCAATCTGTTTCCTTAACTGAGCTAATTCCACACAATGGCCAAGTGGAAGAACAGGAAGAAATGGAAGGTCCTAACATCATGGCTCAGCCCTTCAGCAAAGTCAAAAACAAAACCGGCTCAGCCTACTCCGGAGGAGATGGGCCAGGCACATTGCACAGGGAGTGACATCAGCCCCGTGGAGGAAACTTCTTATCTCCGAGCACAACTCCAAAATGACAACAGAAACAAGACACGAACCCCAGGTGCACATGGCACGAGTCCTGTGCTGCGGTGGAACACAAGTCCCACCAACCCTGCTATCTTCATTTTAATTGAGTAGAGTCTTTTGGGGGATAATTTCAAATTATAATTCTCCTGTCAGACTGTACGCTCAGCTGTCCCAAATGCACAAACATACGCAACCCCCCCAAATCAACTCAGATTCACATGGTTTTCATAAGAATGATTAAGAGGAACTTATACCCAACACCACTGGATGAAATACACAGCATTTTCAAACAATTTATTCTTTTGCAAGAAGACTTGCTTTCATTTTTGCAAAAGGAGTCATGTACCATTAGTGAGGTAAGTAAAACACTGCTTTGCTGTTCTAATTAAACTAGTACTTATCAAAGATAAAATTTATTAGTTTCAACATGCGGACAAAAATAAAGTCACAAAATAAACCAACAGACAGACAGGGTGAGGCATGTTCCTAATGTAGACTGGGTGACAAGTTCCTGCTCTTACTATGGCAAAAGTATTTTCATCTCTCCAATCTCCATGGAAGAGTTTAAGCAGGGAACACAAATGCTCACTACTGCCTTGGAAAAGATAAATCAATGAAAACTGGTAAGAGCAGCTGGCTTTAAAGTTTAATAAATATGTGCAAAGGCTGAAGTTTCTAGTTTCATGTAAATTCGTCCTGCTATACTAAATGCTCAACCTATGGCAATACTACAGCTACAGTTGTTTGCTTTCATAGTAAAGCAAATTTAACAAAAACCTCTACACATTTAAAATGGGAACAAGTTAGAATACCAAGCACAATTTTAATGAATTAAACCTCAGTTGTGATCCAAAAGCAAGAAATAATTGTAAATACATCTGCACAGATTACAAAAATCAATCTATTCACTTATGTAACCAACTTCCTGACTCCCACACACCCCAAAGAGGGGGCAACCTTCAGAACTTGCAGGCTTACTGTGTTGCAAATTAAAAACAAACACTTCTAACAGGGAGAGGCAAACCTGGCTTACCTGGTAAAGCTTTATAATATGAGGGTGATTCAGAAGCTTCATGAGCTGAACCTCACGATATATTTTCTCCAAATTGCTTGAATCTAATCGTGTTTTATCGATTATTTTTATGGCAACCTACAGATTTTAAAAAGAAAAAGCATATTTTGTTTTTAAAAAGAACCCTCACTTAATTTACACATTTTTTTGCAAATTAATCTCTCAATTACTTTATGCCTCAAAAATGTCACAAAAAGTTGGGGGGAGGGGAATAACCAAAATAATCACTAATATTATTTAGTACAATGTTAAATTAAAGTGTCTTTCGTATTTGCAGGCCCCCTTTTACAGGGCTTTAGCTCTGAATCCCTGAACCACCGCACTCCTGGGTCTTATTTTTGTTCATTATCTTCTTTGCCGTCTGCTAACATTGGTACAAATCATGCAGAAACGCAACATGAAGCCGCTTCTTGCCCACGCTGGCCAGCAACCCCGCGGGCGCTCCGCACACCGGTCCCCCGCACACCGGTCCCGCGGCGGGCCGGGGAGCCCCACGCACCTGCGTCTTGGTGACCCGGTGCCGCGCCAGCTTCACCACCGCGAAGTTGCCTTTGCCCAGCGTCCGCTCCACGTCGTAGAAGCCCACCCGGAGGGGCTTCTGCTGGCCCGCGGGCGCCGCGCCGAACTCCGACATGATCACCATGGCTGCGGCTGCACCTGCGGCGCGGAGCGCGGTCAGCGCCGGCCCGACCCGCTCCCGCCGCCCGCCCGCCGTGCGCTCCGGCCCGCTCCCTCCGGACCCCGGGGCGCGCGGACCCGCTCCCGCACTGGCGCCGGCCGGCCCGCTCCCTCCGGACCCCTCCGGACCCAGGGGCGCGCGGACCCGCTCCCGCACTGGCGCCGGCCGGCCCGCTCCCCTCCGGACCCCTCCGGACCTCTCCGGACCCCGGGGCGCGCGGACCCGCTCCCGCACGGACACCAGCCGGCCCGCTCCCCTCCGGACCCCTCCGGACCCCGGGGCGCGCGGACCCGCTCCCGCACGGGCGCCGGCCGGCCCGCTCCCCTCCGGACCCCTCCGGACCCCGGGGCGCGCGGACCCGCTCCCGCACGGACACCAGCCGGCCCGCTCCCTCCGGACCCCTCCGGACCCCGGGGCGACCCGACGCGCGCACCTCGGGGCCGCGGCGCCAGACCGCCCGCCGCCTCACCTCCGCCGCCCTCGGGGCGCCCGGCGGCACGCCTCCGGGCCGCGGCCCCGCCGTCCGCTCGCCGCTCGCGCTGCTCGGCGCCTCCGCTCGGGACGCCGCCGCCGCCGCTGCTGCCGCCGCCCGGGCCGAGCCGCATGTCAGCCCCGCCGCCCCGCCTGCCGCACGCGGCGCCCGCCCGCCCCGCCCCGGCCCGCCCCCGCGCGCCCCGCCCGCCCCGCGCCCGCCCCCGCCCCGCGCGCCCCGCCGCCGGCCATTGACGTCACCTTGACGCCAGACGGACGCGCGGCGCGAGCGCGGGCGCGCGGCGGGGAGATCGGGCGGTTGCCAAGAGTGGCGCGTCTGGACGCGTGCCGGAGAGGCCGTCGCCCTGGCGACGCGGGCGGTGACGTCAGGGGCGCGGCCGCCGCGGCCCGCGCCGCCCGCCCGCCGCCCCGCCAGGCGCCCCTGCCGCTGCGTCGGCGCCCCGCGCGCGCCCCGCCGCCCCCCCCGTCGGGCCCAGACGCCCTCTGCTGGCCTGCGCGGCGCGGCCTTGCGCCGCTGAGTTGGCGCCTC